TGGGGCGCAATTCATTTCACGGTTAAATACCTTTTTTGGTCCCTCTACTATAAGAAAAAGCCCTTTTTTAGTCCCTGTACCGAAAAAATCCCCTTTTTAGTCCCTAAATTTTAAAATCCGGCCCCTTTTTGGTCCTTCCGTCAGTTAAATGACAGAGTGGCACTATAATCTGTTAAATATTTTGTCTTTTTCTTTTTTATTGTTGACGTGTTATTACACGTTAATGAATAAAATGCCACGTGAAAAAAAAATTGATGATGTGGACAAAAAAATTTTGCCATCGTCTTCATCATCCTAACTTCCTTGGGAAACCCAGAAACTGGGTTCCTCTGGGTTCCTCTGGGTTCTGCGCGGAACCCAGCTGGGTTCTCGTGGAATCCACGATTTTTTTTTCTGTTTTTGTAGTCGAATTTCGGCGTGGTTTTAACTTCTATGTTTCATTGATTTCCATCAGTATTTTTTCGAATTTTTTCGGTTGTGTACGTTTTGTTTCGATTTTTAGTTAAAACGTTTCGTCGATTGTGTATGGGTATTCTTTGATCTTCTCCGGTTTTTTTCGTTTTTGTATCGATTTTTACTGCGATTTTGGCTGATCTGGTGTTTCGATTGCAGGATCCAACGTGAAAGGAAGTAAATCGAAACACCAAGTAAGTTTCCTGCGTTTGACCTTTGTTTGTTCTTTATTTCTTCGTTGTTTCTGCTGCTTCGGGATCAAAAAACCAGCAGATGGCGGTTTCTGGATCTCAGATCTGTTACTGTAGTTTTTTAGATTCTCTGGTTTATCGTTTGTGTGATGTGGTTCCGCCTTTTGGTCATAGGCTTTTCGTCAATAAGAAAGCAGCCGTCACATAAGCTGGGAAGAAACCGGGGAAGGCGGCTAAGGATCCAAACAAACCAAAGAGGCCTGCCAGTGCCTTCTTCGTATTCATGTAATTATTATCACCGCCTCTATAAATATCTCGTTACTAATGAAGAATCCTCTTTCCGTCAAATATCTTTGGCATTAACATTCAAACAAACCGTTGAAGAAGTGAACATAACAATCTTTAAAAAATCATGGATTCCACGGGGAACCCAGATCCGGGCTCCTCGTGGATTCCACGGGGAACCCAGCGCGGAACCCAGCTGGGTTCCCTGTGGAATCCAGAGGAACCCAGTTTCTGGGTTCCGCGGGGAACCCAGATCTGGGCTCCTCGTGGATTCCACGGGGAACTTAGTTTCTAGGTTTCCCGTGGAACCCAGAGGAACCCAGTTTCTGGGTTTCCCAAGGAAGTTAGGATGATGAAGACGATGGCAAAGAACAGTGAAGATGATGCCGAGGATGAGGAGGAGGATAAGGTGAGGAGAAAGAAAAGGATGAAAGATGTTACAGTTAATTATTTTTAGGGAGAAGAAAAGAGTAGAAATGGGAAATGAAAAGACAAAAAGAAAATGATGATTTTTAAAAAAAATTATATTACAACCTATTCATATAAAGCTTTTTTGTCCACATCATCAATTTTTTTTTTTTCACGTGGCATTTTATTCATTAATGTGTAATAACATGTCAACAATAAAAAGGAAAAAGACAAAATATTTAACAGATAATAGTGCCACTCTGTCACTTAACTGACGGAAGGACCAAAAAGGGGCCGGATTTTGAAATTTAGGGACTAAAAAGGGGATTTTTTCGGTACAGGGACTAAAAAAGGGCTTTTTCCTATAGTAGAGGGACCAAAAAGGGTATTTAACCTTCATTTCACAGACGTTCTTTCCAGCCATCCTATTGGAGGTCGACCGTTAGAAAAGAGAAGGGTCGTCTGGAAAATCCTATTTTCTTGTTTTTAGACAAAGCAAGTGGCACGCCTAACATCCAACTCACGTGATAAAGGCCGGCTGAGGATTTTTGGGGAAACAATCCTTTGTTGGCACGCCCAGTGGGACCACCAGCAGGATGTATCAATTACAGTTCACAAATCCTCTGTTCATACATTCAGAGGCATCTAAAGCCATGCCACCGAGAAAGAGCAGAGACAAAGAGGTTCAGCCAGCCCAAGCTGAACATGCAAATGATCCCATCACTTTTCTCCCAGTGTCACCTTTGGCAAAACGGTCCTATGGCAATCCAATTTTCAAAGAAAGGGATGCAAACCACAGAGATGACTTTGCTGAATCAAGTAATGTATTTAGAGGTATGACTGAGCGTCTGGATTTAGCATTCAAAGAACAGAACCAGGCTATGCGGAGACTTGTTGAGAGTCAAGCAGAATCCTCTAGACATGAGGAAGAGTTAATTAGACAATGTATAGAAGAAATGAGACGGGTCTTTGAAAAAGGCACTAGGGTGATACGAGAAACTGAGGAAGAAAGTCACAGACCACTACAAGCTATTTCAGAACAAGTAGTTGAGCAAGTGCGACAGCCCAGACCTGAGATCCTTCCTCTAATCGTTGAAATGCCCAGACAGATTCGGGAAGCCCCAATCCCAGCACTCGGGGGGCAAGGGAATCAGCCTCATCCTAATATTCAACAGCAGCATTTTGTCATTGGTGAAAGGCAAAGACAACACCAATTGATGGAGGTTGTTACTCCTGTTGCAGACCACGACCATCAACCTCAGCATAAGTATATTCTGCCAACTAGGAAGGGAAATGTGGGTCCTCATCATCAACCTTGTCCAAGGGACTTTTTCCAGCCACAAGTTCCTCCAGCCCAGCCGGTACGGCGTGGTCTGCAGAATCAACCAGCTCAATTCTTCAATAGAGACCATGGGCCAGCCTTGAGGCCATTGGAAAAGATTGATAAGGGTATCTTGAAATTTCCAAACAAAGCGAAGGAAACCATGGGAGTGGATGCAGATCCTTTTCCAGCTGTGTCTATGGGCGTGAATGTTGCAAACCTTAGGAGTGTGGCCAAAAATCATAATCTGCCTCATGCTTACAGGAATCTTGCTGCTGAAGACCTGAGGTGGGTTCTTGAGGCACGGAGATCTAGACATAGCAGGAGTGTCAGATCAGACCAGCAGAGGCTCGGGGGGCAAGGAAGGATCACTGTGACTAGGAACTTCAATCCAAAAGGTGCTAGAGGTTACTCAACTGGTACTAGATCTCCAAGGATGGTCAAACCGCCACTTAAGTCACCTTCCAGATGGTGGGAGAAAATTAGTCATCCCAAGTTTCCAGCCCAGAATCCCAGAACCTTGACGCGCAAACTGCAACACAAGAGGGCTGAAGAACGAAAAAGGCAACAGAAGCAGGTGGAGGCTGAGGGAAGTTCATCTCACAGACCACGCCAACCTATGAAAAGGAACATGGTCTGGGTGAGAAAAGAGAAAAAGGAGGCTGTAACCCAGACTCTACAGAAGGAGGATGACCAATCTTCAGCCTCTCCAAAGGTGGCGTCTGTCATTGTGAGTCCAGACAGAGTTTTGAAAGCAACTTTTGAAGCACAAGAACAGTCTGGGAATCGTGGATCTGAATCAAAAGAAGATGGCACTATTCATTTTGGGGAATTCTCAATGAATTTGTCATGTCTGGTGCTGACATTACCCTTGGTTTTCCAAGCCAAGAAGAAGGAGGAACCAATCGTCTACGAGTTCCCAAAACAGACAGAAGAAGAGGTAATCGTTGTTCCAGCTCAAGATGATGAAGAGAAGGACATGGCTGACAAAATTGTGTTTGAAAAACCAGAAGAAAAGATGGCCAGACACATTAGGCCACTTTATATCAATGCTCACATGGATGGGACTCCAATCAGCCGTGTCTTGGTGGATAATGGAGCTGCAGTCAATGTCCTTCCAACTTGCATGCTCTACAAAATAG